TTTCGTCATCTCTTAATAGGAAGAGGCTGCTTCAGAGGCTTGTCTTTTTATTAGGTGATGAGATGATGTGCTTAGGGTGACCTGGGGTAAGTAGGACTAGGAAGAGGAACCTCCAAGTATGGTGGCACAGCAAGGATTACCCAGGGATTGCCTATCTACCCACTGCCACCCAGGAGGCAATTTTGGGCTGAGGTTTACCTACTGTACCCCCAGCTGGAACACCGATTTAAGTCTCAGACACACAAATGGAGTTTAACTTCTTCCCTTTGAGAGATCTCTATTCTTCTACCTAACCAAAGTGAAAACAGCTAACCAGTTACAAAGCTGGAGGAGAAAGAAGGGCTGACACGTTCCTAAGACTTGCTGTCCACAAAATTAAGCCAAGGAAAAAAAAAAATCATCAGTGCTAAGTACAAACCTTATATTGGTATTGGTATTTGTTACCCCACAGGCATGCAAGAAATAATTCTTTTATAGTGAAGAGAATCAATCACTGGAACAATCTCCCAGGGATGCAGAAGAGCCCCAGCGCTGGTGGTTTTCAAGGTGCGACGGGACATGGTGCTAGATAATTTCATCTAGGCTTCCTTTCCCATGAAAGGTGGGACCAGATATTCTGAGTTCACTTTCAACCTGGGCTCTTCTATGGTTCTGTAGTTTTTGCAACAACTGTTAAGGGTTTTTGCATCTAGAATATGTAACTGCACCAAGAAGCTGACCAAAGCAAGCAACAGAGGAAAAGAGCAGCCTGAACTGCTTGACATCTAGAAGGAAAAAGAGCTGGGCTCTGTGGACCTTGGGACCCCACCATCATCCTGACACACAGTCCCCCACCTTTAGATAGAGTGCAAGTTCTGGCTTTCAAACCCTCTATGAATTTTCATTTACTCAAACGCAAAGAAAAAAAATAAAATAGTTAAGAGGCCCTCACAAAGTTACCACTTACTATTATACAGCACAACAAAAAACAGTTGGAAAACCTCTGCTGCAAACCATGTTGGGAAAGGTGCACAAGTGATTACTCCCTCCAGCTACTAGCAAACTTTCAAGCAAGCCCTCCAACTAGAGGATGCACTTTTAGGATGCCGTGTGTATCAGTCAGCATCACACACGCCTGCATCAGGCTTGCTGCTGTGGTCACCCAGCTGGCACCTCAACACTAAACAGCCAGAGAAAGCAGTCACAGGGTGTTGTGGGAGTCACAAACTCAGTTTATGGCACGGAGGGACAGGCCTGAGGCAGGTATGGATGAGGAGTGGAAAGAGTGCCCTTCCCTATGGACTTAGGGTGCAGAACAGCCCTGGGGTACCTCCACCTACCTTGGCCAGAGGAAACATCTCTGGTGGGGCTATTTATCCCCTGCACAAAAACACTTGTTGCCTTTGCCCTTTGATCATGCTATCCTTACCCTATTTTCTTTTAGGGTTTTTTTGTGAGAAGAAGCAGTTGGTTTCTTCATCCTGCCCAAGAATGGAGAGGACAGAGAGGCCAGCTGGAGGGGGTGATCTACATCCCCTGAGCCAGACCAATTCTGCCCCTTGTCAATAAATCCCAGATTTGCTGAGCAACACCTACAAGAAACACCGTAGGCTTGGGCAAATTCCCCCCAGATTTGATACTTCAATCCAGTTATGTGTCATGCTCACGTACTCGTTCATCATGTTAAGCTCTTCTAAAACTACCCTCTAGTCCTCTGAATGAAAACACCTCTCTCCTTCACTTCAAACATTGTGATAAACATAGATCCTTGTAATATGAGAAAAGAGGGTGAAGACCTTGCTGTATTTCATTTTTGTACTGCAGTAATGAATTTCAAAATAGCCTAGCAGTAGTAGTCATGCTTACAGATTTAGTATACATTCCCTTCACTGCTCTTCAGAAATTTAGCACTTCTGGTAACAAGCGTGAAGATTTCGGGTTGCTTTGCTTTTTTTTTTTTTTTTATCCCTCTCTTCCCTTCAGCAGATTATAATGTGACATTTTCTTTCTTTTTGTTTGTTTTGAATGAAGGTTTGGCCCTCTTTCTGCACAACTGTTCCCTCAGTGCAAAGGACATAAGGGGCTGGAAGACAGCAAGACTTTCATCTTCTAGCCTCACCTGGAAATGAGCAGTACTTTTCCCTGTTGTTAACACCTGAAAGAAAAGGCCCAAGGGGTTTTAAAGCTACTTGCTTTGAACTGGTCATGAAAAAAACCAAAGCCAAACAAAACATCAAGCAAAAATAAACAAAGTGCAAACCCCAAAGCAAGCGCTGCCAAAGCAGCCTTTTAACTGGCATAAAAGTCCCCAATATGTCAAATTGAGATTGTTTATGGGTCTCTACACAGTTTTACTAATCTTCTTGACTTGCTGTGCCTTACTTCTGAACTTAAAAAGCTAGGTGAGGCAGGTCCTCCAACAGAAGCTCTGCAACAAGACAGTACTCCAGCTCCTGAGAGCATCCCAGACTACTTGACACCACTCTGGACTTTAAGGGACCAGCATGAAGGAGCACACTTACTTACGTACATGAGAGTAGCTGTGCATAAAGTACATCAGCAAGCAGATGCCCATCAGCATAACTTGTGAGAGCATCTACCTACTGTCAGACCAAACGGCCTTCAGATCCTCTGGGCAACAGCTTGGGTCATAGCTGGAGACTTCAGAACACGTGAGACATGGGCTGAGCACACAGAGCACCTTGATTTATGGATTTTGTGAGGCTTAAGTGCTGGTGAGCCCCGTGCAGTGGTGTACTCTCGTTTGCAGGAGCAAGAGATTAATTTCTGCAGTCGACTACCGAAGCTGGTCTACCTGGGCAAAGATTAGTTTGCAAGGCACTTTATCCACTCCCAGGGTATACAACCGGAGCCGGAAGGGAGACCACAATGCTCACACACCAAAAGAAGGCAGTTTACGGCCTCAGCTAAGGTCGTTTTACAGCTGCAAAGCTCCACTGACCTCAGCAACGCTTGCACAAACTAGAGGAAATTCCTTCCTAAGGTGCTAAGTATGGCTTTTCCCACTATATACTTTTTTCCTGCATCATGTTGACACGTTTATTTTCCCAGGAAAGTTTTGCAGGCTTGTCTGTGGATGCACATTACTCTCATTTCTTTCCAGCTTCTCACGTTATCACAAATAGGATCAAGTACAGCAAACAATCACATAGTACTCTCCCTGTGTGATTGATGACACAGATATGTGCAACAAAACAGAACAAAAACAAGTACTTATATCAGCCTCCTTTGACACTTCAAAGTATCAGGGAGACCTTTCACAGCACCCAGCACAACTGAACGCCTGTTTGCTAATCTGGATGAAACAAAGTACCGTGCAGTTTAAGTGCAAAAATAAAACACACTGCTGGGGCTACACTGCATACACAGTGGCCAGCTTTGGCTAAGGCAAGTTTATTTTAGAAGGCATTCTCTCTGCCTAGTTTTTGTAATAAGTGAACTACTTTGTTTGGGTTTCTTTCCCCAAAATGTTGAAGATGCAGAAGTGGTAATTAACACTTTACTGGATAAGGTCCTTCAAAATCCCTAATATATATATAATTAATTAAAAATAAATCAATGTCACTTTTCTTCCAAAACTGGATTATTACAATAATCCTGAGGCTAGTGATAGACCTGCTGAGGACAGAAACTCAGGTTATCTGCCTCTGCCCCCTACCCTGATGTCCAATCCCACCAGACTTCATCCTAAGATCTGCTCCAGCCAACCAGCTGTTCACAAAAGAAAAAACAAGAGTGGAAATGAAGGGGGAAGTAGAGCATACCTGAACTACAGAAGCAGAATGTTAGGCTGAAGCCATCAGTGTAATATCTCAATACCCCCGCTGGTCTATCATCTCCATTTTGGGTATCAAACAGTGATGGCTGCAAGATGACAGATGTTTCCAGGCAGTGCAGAGCAGAGGTATCCCTGACCACAAATACTGTACTGCAGCTCAGGATGTCATATCACTGTCACTATCCTTCTCGCACGCCTGACCTCTGCAACTGCACCACCAAGAGTGATTATTCAGCATATTATTGGAAAAGGACAGAGCTCATGGTGCACCAGAGTTAATGGTTCATTATCACTTCACATCCCCATAATATGCCTTTTGCAGAAGTCCAAGAGTCTCCTGTCCCTATTCATTTCCAGCTGGAAGTTTGAATGGCAGTCAGAGAGAAAAGTTCCTTTATCAATGCTGTAAACTAAATGCCAGATCAGCTGGGACAGATTTGCCACACGGAAAGGAAAGGGTGGCAGTTATTTCAAAATCCTTATTGCATTCTTACATTGCTGTATCAAGCAGAAAGTTTAGCAAGACAGACATCCCTAGCACTCTTGCCCAATTCCAGAAAACAAAAAGCAAACTCTCAGCTTTTCATTAACACCAGAAGTACCACCCCAGTTTACCACACCACCAACAAACCTTGCTCCATGCCCACAGTCTCAGTACAATCAGGGGCCCACCTGGCACAGGGACAGTAGAGGCTCCCCAGGAAGCTGCCCCACATCTTGCACCCCAAGGATGAGCTGTCCCTCCAGCTCAGCAGATGCCCCATGACCACTCATTAACAAGCTGTGTCACTCTTGCAGGATGAGCTGTGGCATTCCATGCCTGTTACACAGCCCTTGCCCTGCTACTGCCCCCCAGCTTCTGGCAGGAAAGGCAGTTCTCCATGGCTTTTTCAAAAGGCTCTTGGAGAAACAATCCTTGACCAACCATTAACAGGCCTACCCGACTGTAACAGCTCAGTCTTCTTCCCCGCACAGATGTGTGTACACACATCTCCTCAGGAGGTCAGCTACCTATCAAGTATTACAGCGGCCTTATCAAGGGACAGTCCCAATATTATGACTCAACCAGGGTTCCACTCAAGAAGTGGGAAACACTTAGTATTCCTAGGAAGGAGTGAGTCCCACTAGGATCACAACATGATTCTACAGTGTCCAAACATCAAAGGTATTAATGTATAATCCTACATGAAGCTGAGCCTGCAGGTCAGGTGCTGCCTCTTACCTGTTCTCCAGCAGTGTCATGCACACGACCTCCCGCACACCTGGGTTGTTGGCTTTCTCAATGGAGCAGCTTTGCAGATTCCAAGTAGCCACCCTCAGAACAGGTCTGCCATCTCTCACCCCCCCAAACATCTCCACAGAGGGGCGAGTGGATATGATCTGGGTTGGACCCCCGGGGGGAAAGTCCAAGTCCTCGCTCTGGAGGCTTAGAGAAGTGGGGCTGGGATGAGGCTTGGCCATGAAGTTGAGGCCACCATTGGTGTTTGTCGAAGGGGGCCTGGAACGCTCTGCAAAAATCTGATGCCTGATTTTGTCCAGAAAGGAGGAATTGATGCAGTCCATCCTCACCAGGTCCTCGATACTTTTGAAGGGCCCGTGCTCTTTACGGTAGTCCACGATGCTGTTGGCGATCTTCTCAGTGATGCCACGGATGCTCATGAGCTGTGCCGGGGTGGCAGTATTGATGTTGATCTTGGTGGCGGAGAGGTGGTGCTCAGAGGCCAGGTCCTTGCGCAGTGAGCTGGGCGAGTGCTGTGCCGAGCTGCCCTTGCTGCTCACGCAGATCTCGAACTTCACCTGCTCCAGCTTGGCCGCCCCCACCCCACTCACCAGCGCCAGGTCCTCCACTTTCTTGAAGCCGCCGATATACTCGCGGTACTCCACGATGTTCTGGGCCACCACCCGGGTGACCCCGGGGAGGGTCATCAGCTCCTCCTCCGTGGCCGTGTTGATGTTGAGCCTCTCCTGGTTGACGAGGATGTTGCTGAAGTTGCACGCCGCGCTGAACTTGCGGCTGTGGCACAGGTCGGCCGGGTCGCGGGGGATAGAGCGGTGGCAGCCCAGGCTGCCCCCCATCTCACCGCCGCCGCCACGGGCCGCTGCCGGAGCCGGGGGAGCGGGCGCGGGGAGCTGCCGGGGCTGCCCGCCCGCGACTCATGGACCTCCGCGGGAGGCCGGCGACGGAGCGGGCGGCTGCGGGGCACCTGCGGACAGACCCCGCACCGCACCGCGCGCTCGATCAGCGGACCCGCGGAGGGCTCCCCGGCCCTTCCTCCTCCTGCCGCTCTCCTCAGGAGGCACTGCCGCTCCCCCGGTGCCAGAAAAGCCGCCGCAGCCGCTTCCCGCCCGCCGCCGCCCCGTCCCCCGACGCTCCCAGCGGCTCCTGCCGCTGCCCGAGCCCCGCCGGCGGTAGTAGTAGGTGGGCGGGAGCCCCCGCCCCTTGGCAGGAGAGGCGGGGCTGTCTCCGCCGCCTCCGCCCCCCGGGCGTCAGCCGCGCCCGCCCCCGCCCGGGCACGGCGGGGACCGGCCGGCGCTGGGAGCGGGAATGAGGGTGGCTGCCCCGGCGGGGCTCCCTCCAGCGGGGTCCTGGCCCCGGCTCCGTACCGAGGCTCGGCAGGGGGCGAGGAGGAGGAGGCTTGACCTTCTCCTTCCTGCGTGGGCACTCGCCCCCTGGGCACAGGCGGACTAAGAATGTCCCCGGTGCTGTCACCTGGCCGCTAAGGGCAGGCTTTTCCCTTTTCCAGGTGAAAGGACGCTCAGACGCTCCTTGCAGCGTTCTTGTCCCAGAAGTTCCCTGGGCTCGCCTCCGTGCAGCTGGCAGGGAATAAGTGTGTTTTCAAACCTCGAGAAAGCCTCATCAGTCATCTCAAAGGGCTTTTTTGTGCACTTGCAGGGCACTATGCTTTCATACATCTAGGTTAAGTCTGCTTTTTTCTTTCTTTACTGTTTTTTTTTGACATCTCAAGCAATTGTGAGAGTGCTCAAAAAACTAAAACTCCCTGCAGAATCATGCTTTTGGACATAATATGTCTGCGTACTGGGTCTGCCTCAGCCCATGGTCCCTGGTCTGCTGCGTGCCTAGCTTTTCCCCGAGCCAGGGTAACCTCATTCTGCACCGAAATCATGACTGTGTATCATCTGTGTGCCTGAGCTTTAATACAGTTTGTTCATGCCCTGGGAGCCACAGCAGACCACCACAGTCCATGTTGGTGAAGCCGTTGAACTATTTACCCAGCTTCTACAGCATCCAGTCCCATGCTGCACTGTCTGCAACGCTATCTGTAGCCAAATTAGCTCATTTGAAACTAGCTTGACTGTGCCCACACAGGAGTGACTGCAATGTCAATGAATCCAAAATATAATCGGTGGGTGTAACTGAAAGGAAGGGGGAAGAAAACTGAAAGAAAGAGCAACATATGCTTACAGATGCCAGGTACACTCCCTGATGCTGCCTGCTGCTGACAGGATAAATATATATTTCTTTTAGCTGGACAGAATATGGTACACGTATATTTTCAACATCAAGACTCTTCGTTGCCCCTCTAATGAAAATGAAAATGGCTTGCAATAGCAGCTTATACATATATTTTTCAATGGAAATTATCTGGGTCCACCTGAAATAAAAAGTTGAACTCATTCATCTTCTTGGTGAGGGAGAATGTTGTGTGCATAAGGGAATGCAGGCTGCACCGGGCTTTCAGACTGCGCAGGGCACTGGTGCTTTAACACTGGCACTAGATACTCTGCTGCAGATCACATATTTCTCTTCTGTTCGCTTGAGCAATAGAGCTAGAAAATTATCATTACGGGAATGGGTACTGGCTGCATTAGGGTATTGGCTCTCTACTGACTGCTGGAGTGGAGAAAGTGCTCGCTTAGGTGATTAAATGCTTCCACGTCTACTGGAAAGTGCTCTGTGCACTGCGATAACAGTGGCCAATGCAGCAGAAGTCATGCTGGGCCTATTCCTGCTGGGATGGTACCAGCACAGAGCTGGAAACAATTAACCATTGAAACAAGTATTCTTTTTGAAGCAGTATTATTATGGTAATAGCTCCACAAGCTGTTATCTTAATTGAGAACACACTCTTTTGCTTTCTGCAGCAGGTTGTTTTGAATTGGAACCAGGCTCATTAAATAACTTTTGAAGCTGATAAGCACCAAAACTCAGGTGAGGCATCATCTACATTACAGGCAGCACTAGGTTTTCCGTATTACAGAGAGAAGGCAGGAGCATCTCCAGAAAGAAAATAACAGATATCCCTCTCATCCAGAACTTCTTGTTGTCAGCAACTACACGACATTTCTTGAATCTGCAGCTCCAAAATAACTTTTGAAACGAGGTGCAGCTGGAGACGTGGAGCTCAGAGGGATGCCACGAGTGTCCCATCACCTAATTCTGGGTATAACCCCATGCTAATGTGAGCTGCAGGGAGGAGATTGGAGGGGGGGGGTGGCGGCGGGTGTTATCGTTCCATTAGCCATCTACCCTTATTGTCTTTGTTGACAATTACAGGAATCTTATTGAGCTCTGAATCAACCTTTGAAATATCTTGGTATTTTCGGGAAGCGCCAAAAGATGTGAACAGGTAAAGGTTTGGTTTATATTTTAAAAGGTTCAAAAGGAAAAAAAGAAAAAAAAAGATTAATCACCTGGCCTGACATCAGTTAGGCAATTCATTAACATGAGAAAGCTAAAAATGGGGTTCAGTCAGTAAAGGATTGAAAAAACAGTGTTGAAATTACTGACAGACAATTTAGGCAACAGAAAATAAATCTTGTGAAACCTGGGTAAATACTAGATTTTGTCTTTGATCCAATCCTGAGCTCAGCGTATTTAAATTTATTCAAGAAGAGATTGATCATGGTCTGCTGGTGTCCACCAGCTGACAGATATCCTTCGTGGTCTGCTTGGCACTGCTCGTGGCAAGGGGCCACAAATAAGGGATTCCTGGATCTCTGTCAGGAGGGCTCAGAGATACTGTGGGTGGCTTATTCCTCAGGATCTGCAACTCTCTGCATCTGGCTGCTGGCCAGGGCTGGCTCAAAAACGTCTCAGCGACAGCAAAATTGAATTTTGCTGCTCTGAGGGTGTGAATCCGGGAAGGATCTCACAAGGCCGGGCAGGCTCCAGCACTGAGAGAGAGGGGACACTCGCAAAAGCCCCTTGGGAGCAGCCCTCACGCATCATGCAAAGTGTTTTTATGTTTCACTGGATAGTGTTACAAAGTGAGCAGCTAGGGAACAACGGTTTTAGCCCTGCCCAGTGGCCATTTGTTGGTCTGGGACTGGCTTTGCCACTATCAGCTGCCCTCCTAGACTCAACATCTCACACCCTGTCCCCCCAAATAACTAGTGAAACAGGTTTCTGGATGGCTGGGTGGCACGAGGACAAGCAGCCAGCCGCACAAGAAACGCAAGGGTAGGGTAGCGTCACCTGCTTACCAGCTCTGGAGGTCTGGAACTCCTCTTCCCTGCAGAAATTCTTCAGAGAGGAAAGAACAAACCTAAAATTTTTTCCGTCAGAAGCAGATTCTGCAGCACTTAAAGCCTTTAAATACAATGTTTAAGAATGATATGGAATTGCTTGAACCTGTAACGATGGAGTGGGAGCAGATAGATACTGGTGAGCAAGGTCTTTTGGCTTAATTCATGCAAAGAATCAGCCTGCAGGCCAGTAGATTTTAAAGGCATAACTTCTTAGCATTTTAAGATGGTCTTAAAAAAATCTATTAATCTATTTTATATTTTTCAACATTCACATCTACAGTGCAGAAGCTCTAATCAAATAAACTCTGTTTTATGATGAGGGCTAGAAGGAGCCAAGAGATGTTGCTCAACAGAAAAGCACAGAGTTTTCCTTCAGTCTTCAGGTAGCAATTGCAGTTCCTACCATCTTACCATGTCATTGCAGCACCTTTTCCAGCTCTCCCTTACACACCCTTTGGGAGCAGGGGGCTTGACAGTCACACCTCTAGGGACTGCATTTTCAGTCCTACTGCACTGGGCTCTTAATGGTCAAGGACTCGAAAAGGCAGCTGATTAACTTCAGTGCCTGTGTTTTTATTTAAAGGAGCTATTAAAATAATTGTTTTCCTTCTGCAAGGACATTTTCAGTAACACTTGTAACAGGTGCCTGAGGCAGAAGACAGGCAGTTTTTATGAAGATAAATAATAACAAGTAGAAGTTAGCAATTTCATGAGCAGTGGGACTTACAGAGTCTGATTTCTGGTGGCTCTTTCCTTTGTTGATTTTATGATTTATATTAATAAAACTAAGTATCCATTAGTCACTAATCTGGATAGCTCTGTTCCAGATGACCGCCAATATTTGTGGCTCTTTTAGAAACGCTATATTTTTGAGACATTTAACCTTTGTCAAATCTGCTTGAAATCAGCCCACAATCTAATAAAATCCATGGGTAGGGGATGAGAAGCAGAGCAGCAGAGCACACAGTCACATGAGTTTTTCCTTAGGAATCAAATGTCTGTGGTGTGAGCTCTTTTTCCTGTAAGGCATTTTACATGACTGCCAAACTTGTTGCAAAAAAAAGTGATGTCACCAGTGCTGTGTTGCCAGGTTACGAGTGTCACATCCTACAGAGAAATACAGTCAGAAGAGTGAGCAAAAGTGACTCATCATCATACCTTGATTAGGGCTCCACTTTGGTTGGTGTTGAGTCTGAAACGCAGACCTCTCCCTCCCACAAGAGATCTCAACTGCTGGCTCACCAGTGCACAGTAGGACAGCTCATCCTAGAGGGAAACAAGAAAAACCCAAGCTAGAGGAGACGTTCTCCGGCAGAGCTTGGGATGCATTTTCCAGTTTCCATAGGCAGCAGCGGGGATTTAATTCTCATCTCCCACATCTGAGGTGACACTTAATTACTCAGATACCCCTTGGGTCACAAGGCGGGAAAGGAATTAAAAAACCTAGTCCTTCCTTCACCCCAGGCAGAGTCATCAAGGCCACGCTTACAGAAGCTTGCCTGCTCCAAGCCTCCAGTGGTTTAATTTCCTGAATTTCCCAGATAAGAAACATGGAATATGGTGGACCTGTGTCGCAGCTAATATCTTC